GATCCTATCTAACCATCTCATCCTCTGCCGTCCTCTTCTCCTTTTGCCTTCAATCTTTCCCAGCATCAGGGTCTTTTCCAAAGAGTACTGAGGACTTAAACACCAAAATAGCATGCATCTCTAATGTACAGGTAGTTCTCGCTTAACAACCACAATAGGGACCAGAAAATTCATTAAGTGGGGCAGTCATGAAGCGAGGCATCATGTGACCGCACCCAATTTTACATTTTTTGTGGCAGTCATTAAGTGAATCACTCAGTTCCCCATTGATTTTGCTTGCCAGAAGCCAGCTGGGAAGTTCACAAATGGCAATCAAGTAACCCTGTCGTAAGTGCAAGCTGGTTCCATGCACCCAGATCACTTCCATGTGACCGCGGGGGCACTGCAATGATTTTAAGTGCAAGGACCAGTCGTAAGTAGCTTTTTCCAGCACCCTCGTAACTTTGAAGAGTTGCTAAATGAATGGTTGTTAAGTGAGGACTACCTGTAATCAGCTTATTTGTATTATTGATCATTACCTCATCACTCAACAAAGAGCTACTCATTTCTAGGTTTTGCTTCTCTGAGGTAATACACTGTTTCTCAGCTGCCATTGTTTCTTTCTCCTGAAGTAAATTCTGAATTCTTTCCTCAAAATTACTTTCTTTCTTCTTCATTTCAACTTGTAATTCATGACGTGCAGTCAGCTCAGATTCCAGCTAAAAAGAAAGATTACACACAATAATCATCCCAATGTACTCCATACTGGTTAAACCTCAAGTTAGAGTAATGTGTGCCTTCTTGGGCAGTATAACATGGATGATGCTGATTAGAGGACACTGAGAAAAAATTTAATACTGTTGAATATGAAAACATTTCAATAAAGTGTATGAGTTAATTAGTTTCTGTCATAATCCAAGACAAAACAGTAGTGCAAAATTATTAAGTGGAAGAAAGTTTTACATGCAATAACAAAAACAATTATTATAGAATTCTGAAAAATGTCTTTTAAGAAAGACAATTAAGAAAAATGCTCTAATGTTTATCTTACATGCAATTTTTCTGTGTTTCATTTTACATTTGGGAACATTTTATAGATATTAGTAATCCAACTGAAACTGATTATGTAAAAAAAAGCAGAATATAGCTTTTAATATGGATGGATGGATGGATGGATGGATGGATGAAAGAAATTTTCAGAACACTAGCAATCTACACCCTGGGCAAGAGGAAGATGAGGCAACTTGTATTCCATTAAGTGCAATATGCTAGGAAAGCAAATGCAATGACTATATGAAGCTGACATGTAAGGTCATTGTTCTATCTAGCTTGGTTTTGTCTTGGTCAGCTATGGCTCACCAGAGTCTAAGACAGAAATCCTTCCATCTTCTGCTAATCAAGATCCTTTCACTTGAGGTGACAAGGATTGAATTAGAACCTTTTCCAAATCTCTCTTGCCTGTAATATTTATTTTTTCTTTTAATTGATACCTCTGAAATTACATTTCTTTAATAAATATATCTTCTTGATCTCTTATACAACTTTCACATGAAGTGTGAACAATTCCTACTGTTCTATAAACTCTACATTTAATGGTAGTCTTCCGCTCTATCACTGAGGAACAGCATGGATGTTGTCTGCTTCTGTCAACTAGAGGTAAGTAATCCACAGGCTGCACGCAACTCCTCTGAAATTCTGGTGCCATCTACAGAGCCCCCTGCTTTATCTGGCATTAAATGTGCAACTAAAATCTGGTAGGGAGTACTTGATCTGTTAAGTGTTTGTCAGCATTAGGAAAAATAGTCTGACAAATGAAAAATATATAGGATGGCAAGTATTTAAGATTTATACATGAATGATACATATAAATGTAACCTTCGGAAATACTTTAGAATGAAGATGTTTACCTTTTAAATTACACATTTTGTTCTTATCAAATGCCTCACGATGAGAAATTGAAAAAGTAAGCCTATTTTTAAATATATATAGTTCAGAAGTGTTAAAAATAAAGGGCAATGAGAACAAAAGTTTATGACACCATGCTACTCACTGAAAACTCTGGCCTACAATTCCCTATTTTGGGGGTGACTTTTGTGAGGCCCTATGAAAAAACAGTACTGCAGCCATGTTCTAACTACTGTTATTGCTGCAAAACTCAGAAACAAGAATGTACTTCTGAAGATGAAGCCAAGATCTGATTGTTTATTGTTCAGAAGAAAGCCAGGGGAATATTCGTCCTATACTTACCACAGCACACTTATAAATAGTAGGCCATGAGTACCAGAGAAAAGAGGCACCAAAAAAAAAAAGGAATTAAACAGAAAGAATGAACAACTATCATCACTGCAAACTGAATAAAAAGGAGTTTTAAAAAATGAAGATATTTAAAAAAACAAAAAAGTAGTAACTGAAACTGTTCTTAATAAGGAAAAACAACCCAGTGAAACAAAGGAGGAAAAAAAGAGAAAAAATATATGATTGTAACCTTCTTCTCCAATTCCAGGGTTTTAGCTTCACTTTTTGCCACCTTAGTTTGATCAATCAAATTATCTACAGAAAAAAAGAACAAACCACATAAGAACATTGCAAGTGAGGAAAATTTCTTTCTATACTATCAACTCTATACAGTAGAGATGCGTACCTTTTGGGAAGCAGCGGGCTTCCTCATTCTTTGAGTGGCATCCTCGGGGTTGCAGAAAAAATAGTTTGTAGGGCCAGGACAAAAACTGAACTGGATTTCATTTTATTTATATTTAATTTTAATTTAGCGAATGTGTTTAATTTCTGATCATGTATTTAATCATTAATTGCATCACATTTATGCAGTACTTAAGCTACCGGTGTAAATACTACCACCATTACCAACCTAAAATTTATAATTTGCTATTGAATTTTTGAAATCTTTGAAAGCCACACTCAAAACTTTCAGGAGGCAAAAGCAGCCCAGAGCACACCTCTACTATAGGGTCTTATTCAACTTCTAGATTATGCATTGCTTTGTTACAGCCTTGATTTACCAGACTTAGCTAAATCAATTAAATGTGTGCATTTAATCTTGCACTCACACATCTTTAACAGACCAGAAATAGATCTTTTCTTGTGTCTCAATATATCCAAAAAAGCAAGAAGGTTCAAGTTTTCATCATGAACTAAAAGCACAATTGCGGCAATGCTTTCAATGGACTCCAGGTATTTTGCACAAACATTAAGAAATATCCTTCAATCTTTAATCTTAAAAAAAGTAATCTCCTTTACATCTAATATGCTTAACCTGGGTGATTTATTTTTATAACAGGAAAAACAATACAAATGTATTTATGTCACTTCATATCATAGTAGCAAATGGAAAAATACATTTTGGACAATTATCAAATAAATATAGCTATCAGTAGCCCCAGACTCACCTATTAAGGCCTCAACATTAAAGTCAAGGTGTTTGCGTTTGAAGTCTGGGTCAGCCCCATTCCTGTACAGAACTATCTGTGAAATGCATTCATCAATTAGTTTAAAATATTGAGGCCTAAGACAAGAACAGAAAAAAAAAGATATTAGTGCTGATAATCAGAATATTCCATCCCTCAAAAAGTGATGAGTATACATCCAGATATCCGTATATTTTCACAATATCATAAAAAGAGTTTCCTTTTCTACCTGGCCTCATAGTCATTGCGGATTAGCAGGAAGTGCTGCAAAATTGAGAGGAAATGTTGCTCTGCCTTAGAATCCTTTACTGTATTGAGGAGAATCTGGAAGATTTCATTGAAATCAGTAGAAAAAAGAATTAAGGATTCAAACACCATTCAAAAGAAATACAGATGCACATCCCTAATTCACAGAAGAGAGTTAGCCTGCCGCTTGACTTCTATATCTGCGGTAAAGGAATTCAAATAGATCTACATAAGCTACCTTCCCCAATGATTGTTTTATTTTTAGATTTTTTATCCCGCCTTTATTATTTTTAGAAATAACTCAAGATGGCAAATATACCTAATACTCCTTCCTCCTTCCTATTTTCCCCACAACAACAATCCTGTGAGGTGAGTTGGGCTGAGAGAGAGAGTGACTGGCCCAAAGTCATCCAGCCAGCTTTCACGCCTAAGGCAGGACTAGAACTCACAGTCTCCCGGTTTCTAGCCTGGTGCCTTAACCACTAGACCAAACTTAAAGCATTTACCCTTCACACTTCAGCTGGAATGTTCAGGGTAGCTTACAATTCATAAAATATAGCTGCTGTCTTCAGTTTTATAATTAAAAAAGGTATATCAGAAAAAGAAAAAAAATGGGTCAGGAAAACAAAAGCAAGAAAATGCATTTTATAATGATTGTTACCCAGAGGTTATATCATAATATCTGTAATACAACCCTGAAACTACTGCTCTCTGGGGGAAGAACAGCTCAGATGAGCAACTCATTATTTGTGATCCCTCAGCTCTCTCTCTGCTTCAGCATAACAGAAGAGCTGCCACATATACCTCCAACAATTATGCCACATCTTGTGTTACTAGAAGTTTAGAATATATTTTTCCTTAGGGATGGACTGCCTATCTCCATAATTATGAATATAAAACAGAACGGACTGCCTTTTGGATCTGATTCAAGTCAGTCTTGACTCCTGGCGACTGCCTGGACTAGTCCCTGAAGTTTTCTTGGCAAGATTTCAGAAGTGGTTTGCCCTTGCCTCCTTCCTAGGCCTGAGAGAGGGTGACTGGCCCAAGGTCACCCAGCTGGCTTTGTGCCTAAGGCAGGACTAGAACTCAGAGTCTCCCGGTTTCTAGTCTGATATCTTAACCACTATACCAAACTGGTTCTCATTTGGATCTGAGGGCATTTATAATAGATATCTATTTTCACTGTCCAGGATCAAAAATATATTTCCATATATTTCCTGCTTTAGGCACAAAGCCAGCTGAATGACCTTGGGCCAGTTACTCTCAGCCCTAGGAAGGAGGCAAGGGCAAACCACTTCTGAAAACTGCAGAGACGCACCCAGTCAGTTGCCAGGAGTCAACAATGACTCAAAAGCACACACAAAAAAGTTTTTTCCACTGTCCAGGATCAAAAAGATATTTCCATATGCTCTCCATGGCCAAACTTACAAAGATTACAATCAGATCAAACCACTATTCTTTAGTACATAACTTATTGCTCAGATCAATTTCATCAAGCTTCTCACACTGCATGCATTTTGAGTCTTAGGGTGAGAGAACAAGTGTGCTGAGAATAAGATGTAAACATCTATAAATTCCACAGTGCTTTACTACTCATTTTAGTGTAGCAAAAGTTGTTTATACTGATGGTTTTTATTAACAAAAGTCATAGAAAAACTGCTGGACATATTTAGGTATGATATTGGGTATGTTTTTCTTTAAACATGAGTAACAAAGAAGCTCCCTCTTTGCAGTGCTTCTTGGAAGACCCACATGACCGTGCAACATCACAGGTCACATGAGCATTACAGAAGTCAGTAATGCTGCAAAGCCAATGTGGTGTAGCAATTAAGCTGTTGGACAAGACTGGGAATACCCAGGTTCAAGTCCACCTTTAGCCATAGAAGGAGATCCTCATATAGGTCACCCTGAACAGGATATAAATCTGACAAATAATAATCCTAATATTACAAGAGAATCGGGGAGGGGAAAGAGGCAATAAGTGATCCTGTGTACTGACTTATTGGATGAAGGAGTCATATATTTTAAAATAAAAGGATATTCCATTTCTATTCGAATGTCCTCCAAGCGGCCTCTGAGATCTGCAGAATCTTCTTCACCAGATTCTTCAAATACCTGCAGCTGCAGTTTCAGCTCCTCATTGTCTTGAGCATGCAGTTCCTATGGAGGGCACTGTCACATCAGAGGATGCCCACTAGACATCACCACCCTCCTTTATTCCAAGAAAACATCCAACTGTTTGGTAAAATACTATTTTGTTACCTCTCTCCCCTTTCCTTTCTCCCCTCTCCTAAATAAGAGAACTAATTCACTGAAATCACTTAAGAGACAAGGTGTTTAGTGTAAAAGTGATGTCAGTGGCCCTGCCCAGGACATAGGAAGAGAAACTATTTATTATTTATATATAGGCAACTCACATGACTGAAACTCAGAAGTGCTCATGGACACAACTGGGTATATATAGTTGCTATTTCACACATCCTAATTAATGAAAAAAGGTATGAAGGTGAGGCCACCTGGCACAGTACTACCATTCCCATATAATGGGTAGTCAGGCTTCTATGAAAAGGGCTAGCAGCAGAATTCTCATATTCACTCAAGAATCTATTATTTCCAACTGCTGAGACTACTTCACTTGTATAACTACACATTTCTTATTATTTTATTTCTCTACAGTTCTTCCTTTTGAGGATCCCATGTAAATAAGACAGTTATTCTTGTGAAACGTGACCAGCTAAGAAAGAATACTCCAAAAATAATGTTGAAGTATACTTATCCCCACCACAAATCGCTCACCCTTTAAATGGATTCATAAGATGAATAAGATATTATCTCTCCCGATATAGCAAAGATATGACATTAGAAAGGAGAGATATTTCTCACCTTGAGGATTTGTTGCAGTCCAGAACGCATTAATTCACTGCGGATGTGCACCCTGAAGTCAAGCTCATCTGATGGAATGATTAGAGCATTGATCAACTGTAGACAAGCTACCTAAGAAAATCAAAGAAAAATTCCATGTTGGATCAATCAGTTCTTCTCCCTCATCCATTATGAGCTAGCTAATTTCTCAGAACAATTGTGAAAAACTGCCAGTCAAAACAAATAATTTTATTCTACCGAGCTTTGTCATAGCAAAGCAGCATAACAGTCAAATTCAGTACAAATAGTGTTGAGAAAGAAAAAACAGGAAGGAATCAATATTGATAGTTGAAACTCTGAGGTCTGAAGATGCACAAAAAGAATTTACACTGAGGAATCAAGTGTACTCAGTAATGGTGGAACAAAAGAGAAAGTGGAAGGGGTCAGACAGGGTCTTCTGAAAGAGATAAGGACGAGAGACTGTGACATTCTTTTTTCAGGTTCCTATTACCTTTAACGCCACCGAAGTGCCACTTTTCAGGCCATCCACAATGGGTTTAAATCGTTCTATTTCATCCATTTCTGCTCGTTCTGTCAATGCTCCCAAAACTTGCTCATGCCTAACCAAACATAAAGGAAAAAAATAAAAAATAAAAATAAAATAAAAAATCAGCTTTTGTAATTCTTAGATAGCCAGCCTGCATTTTAAAAAGTCTTATTTTGACAGTTCATGAGATTTTAAAGATCCCGTATTAAAATTTAGGAATGCCAATCAAATCCTTCTGGATTTGTATGTACTAAATTTAGATTCAATTGTACAACTGAAATATACTCAGACTATATCTGGCACTTGATGTTTTTGTAAAATGTACAAATTACTAGTCATCAACATCATTAATTTCAAAGTTTGCTCACAGCTGCTAGTATTTTTATTCATTTCTTTTAGTTTCTTTCTTCAGCAGGCAATTTAGCTCCTAAATGTTTAAATAAATAATTAAACTCTCCTGTCTTCAGTACGGAAGGCTCAATTAACAAACTACCTTTTGTGGATAAGCATTTGTCTTTGTACACCAAGCAATTAACTGAAAATATGTGGAACCTCTTTGAATTGTTGTAACACTCATATCTTTTCTGTCTCTTGCTACATTTTTGTTTTATTTCCTTGAAGGGGAAAAAATACTGCCTTCCTAACTACATCTATCTATTTTATTTCTGTTCACATATCAGAAATGTTTTAAAGAAAACAGTGCAAAAATGATGGAAAGGAAGCTTATGATTGCTGTTAAAAATTATTTTACTTGGCTTCACAATAAGTAAAATTCATTCACAGTAAGTAAAATTTAGGAAGAAAAAATGCATTGGCTTGTGTCTTATGATGTGCAAACAGAAGTAAATTTGTGAAACTAGCTTTTCCGATTCCTCACCTCCTCCCATAGCTTCCATATATGCTCTGAACAGCTACGCTAGAGGAGCAAAACTTTCCTAAGCAACATGGGATGAGGATGTTCAGCATGAAGGAAGAACATGTTGCATCAACTTCTTTCTACTTGGGATTCTCAGATACAGCTACTGTGCCAATTACATGCTTATTAAGATATATAATTGATACATAATACATTTTTTAATATATTTTGCAAAAAGTTTAAAATGTTAAACTGTCCCATTCTACTACACAGTACAACTGAACCAAAAGATAAACTATTCATTGTCACATACATATCCACAGGCTGAGGCAGGATGCAGAGAGCAGAGAGGAGCTTGATAGCATCAATCATCATCGTAGGGACTTTAGGGTCAACTGCTTTTGCCAAAAGTAGAATCCCCTCATCTGTTTCAAGCATTGTCTTAATTCCAAACTAAAAAGTAAAAAAAACAGTACACACTGGGGTGAATAACATATTTAAGATCTATGGCACAAAATAGCACAAGTCTCACAGAAAACCATTACAAAGTATGTTCAGAAAACAAGAGAACGGGAAGATGGTCTACAGAAGAACTTTTGAAGGTGATTTATTAAGGAAGAACTTAAAGGCATTTTCATTCAACACTGTTTCCATTCCCCAATGTATTCAAAGTGTTTTCAAGCCTGCCAAGTAATTAACTCGCTGATCTCAGAACACTGAAAATAGGCAGGGAACATCATGAGTAGAAGACTGCAAACAGGCATACAAGAATCTAGACTTTTAATAAGTCAAATTTACTGTAGAAAAACTAAGAAGCCAATATAAAAGAATTCCAGCAACTGCTGTATGTAAAGTACAAGTCCTACTTTATAGTGAAATCAATGTTCAAATTCTTGCACCTTTTTCTACTCCCAGAGCTGTAAAACAGGCTGGATGGTCTTGTTTGGGGAAGGAGGGCCAGTTCCAATCTCTCTCTTATTTTGGTAAGGACAGATCTGATATCAGGCTGATTTCCTCTGATCATGTGAGAACTAAGAAAACTTATACTTAGACCTGATGCATCATTCCCTACTAATGGTTAAGGTCAATACCACTCATTTTTTATATATTTTACAGTACAGGTAGTCCTCAATTAATAACCACTCAGCGACTGTTTGAAGTTACAATGGCACTGAATGAGGAGTCTATCACAATTCAGGCACTTGGCAACCAGCTCGCAATTACAACAGTTGCAGCATCCTGCAGTCATGGGATTGCCATTTGCTACCTTCACTGCCAGCTTCCGACAAGCAAAATCAATGGGGAAGTCAGCAGGTGGTCGCAAATGGCAATCATGCAACAACATGCTTCATGACCACATCTCTTAGCAATAGGGTTGCCCAGTCCCAACTACCGTCATTAAGCGAGGACTGCCTGTATGCCATAAGTTACAACTAAACCAGTTTTACTGCAAACATGCTCATGCTATTCTATGCAAACTAGAATGTCTACACAGAAACTACTTTATTTCCCAACATATTGATGCTCTCATTCCAACTGGGATGTACATGAGCAGCCGAGGTCAATATTCATGGGCCCATCTGTTGATGACTGTGGCATATACAATGTAGAGTGTAATAGTAGTATATGACAAGGAGCCTGAATTCATAAAAGAAATGGAAGAAAAAAATTGTGTTTGTGAAACAAAGAGGGAAAGGATGCAACAGATTTTAAAGAACATGGTCTGATCAGGTGGAGTTGACAAATACATTTTTTAAAGTCAAAGTATGGGTTTAATAATGAATGAAAGAGTTAAAATATATGTCAGAAATTATGAATTAGTATCACCTAAATTGTTGTATGAAAACAAGAATTCATGGGTTGCTGATAGTTATTTGATGATCCCAGTTCTGCTATAGGGAATTGTTATACTCAATGAAACAGAATAGTTTTGGGAGAAATGTGCAACATTTAATTTACTGTAATGTTTGATTATGATAACATGCTTGAATGAAAATTTTTCACAGAACATGGAGCTGAAAGGTGGTTGCTGAATGTGGTGAGCATACAATATATGATAGAAGTAAAGCATCCTTGAGAAAAAATGGAATGCTTAGCAAATGGTTGAAATCTGAGCAGGAAGCAATACAAGAATATCATGTTCTCTTGCCTGTTTAATGTATTTAAGGATAAATGTAAAAGGAATTGTGGTGGTATTAAAGAGTGGGTTGATTCAGCACATGAGTAGGCGCACACTTTTGTATGCAGATGATGTCATGTTTTTGGCTGAAAGTCCAGTGATTTGCAGTGAAAGACAAATTACATGATGCAACAAAGATAATCAGTTTTAATATATAATATTTAATATATAAAATCCAGTTACACACTGAATGGTAGAATTAATAGAATGAATGATTACAAGTTACATAAAAATGGTCAAAAATTTGATCAGCTAGTTGACTTTGTATCCTTGGCTGAATGGTTCCTAAAGACAGAAAAAATATCTACAATATTATTTCTCTTTTTCACATTTTTTATACTCCATTATTGTACTACTATTTGCACAATTTTATTCCTTCTCCTCTCAAATACACTCACTTTACAATTCACTCAGCATTCCTATTTTTATTTATTCCTTGCCACCTGTTTTTTTATGCCTAAATTGTTCTTTTTCCCAATTCTCAAGAATTCTTTTCCATGCTCATATTACTTCAAATAATCACTCACAGTCTCTTCACAAATAACTCCCACAGAGAAACTGATTAGAATTGCTCTTTTTAGTTTCTTGGGAGTTTTCCCCACCAATGTTCTGTTTAGGGGTGGATTATCTACAGTAAAATTATTTGAACAAACTAGGACAGAAGACATATGTCAAGGATTGTTGCTTCTGGGTGGCCACAATTCTATTTTGGCTTGATGTTAATTTTGTCAGTTCTAAATTTAATATATTTTAAATATTCTTAAAAGTTTGCACTGTCTTCCATTGTCGCACCCATCCTCACTACTCTTGTTTTATTATGTCTTTTGCTTGTAAGCTTAGAGCATCATTTTCTGTGCTGATACCTGATAGCTCTATTAGTGTGTAGTATTATGTTCCTGAACTGATTTCTTCTGCTTTGGAAAATCTATTTTATTTTTTTCACCTTCTTTCAGTAAATGTCTTCCTATTTACTTTAACTTAACCTTTCCAGTTCAGTTTTTCTTGTTTGAAACAATATGTGATCTATTCTTTCTTTTGACAGTATCTTCCACTAATTTAAACTCCCATAATCCTGAAATTTATCCTTGTCTCATTACTTGTACTCTTTACCCTCACAATTTCATATGTACAATTCTAAACTTGGAATTAAAAAGTCTTAGCAATATTATAGGAAATAACATTATTTGTAATCTTAATTCAGCTTACTTTTGAGTTTTTTTGTTTCTACTTGAAATATTTTTTCTGCTTCTATTTAATTCAATTTTTTTAGATTTGTATTTCAGATGGCTCTTAACCATGGTTTTAAGTATCTACAACCTGAAAATACAAATAGATCATGTTGTCTGTGGTAAAGGGTTTCATGTATTGGCAGCTCTGAAAGTTTTTTTCTGTATTTTATGAATATGCAAAATTTTGGACAGACTTTTGCAGAAGTAAAGTACATCTTTTTTTCATAATATCATTCTCCAAGAACTTGTTATCCACAGCTGTTCAGCTGGAATGGAGCTCCTGTGAATCAAGAGAGCCACCTGTACTTTTCCTCCTTCCCCTCCTCAGGTTTCTCTAAGTTTTTCTTCTAGTAGAAGCTTCTTATTTTCAAAGGCATTGCTTACCTTCTTACTGCTCTGTAATTGTTGTGTCAATCTCTCTATTTTCCTGATACCAGTTTTTTTCCCCTTAACTCAAGATTCCTTATTTCACGTTTCTTCTTTTATGTCATACTTAACTTTGGATGAAAAGTCAAATAATCTTATGTTTGTAATATTAACATCCTAAACTACAATTAATACTGATAGAATTTTTACTTTTCTCTTATTTTCAACATGAATGTTCTATTATTTTAATCATATTAAATAAATATTACTGCATTGAAATTTGCATTGATTGCAATATATCAAGACTTACAATATTACAATAAAAGAGGAAAAAAGATTCCTTATTCCTGTGGCGTCTCTTCACCTTTTTGTCTGTTGCTGTTCTCACAATGTAACTGTGTCTTTTGGGGTTCTCTTGCACAATATTTGCATTTAGTTTCCTCACTCTCTCAACTAAATAGGGACTATACTCAGACCGTTTCTCCAACTAAGTCTCCTTTCTGTCCTCTTCCTTTTTTATGTTTTAGCAAACAAGGTGAGAAAGGGATTCGTTTTTTATTCTGTTGTTATATAATTCTGCTGAGCAAGAACACATCTTTATTCCCCTCCCATTTCTTTCTTCTTTTTTGCTTTATAAAATGTGCCTACTAATTAAATATAAGGAATGATATTCACAAGTTTCTAAATGCCGAAAATAGGGGACTCACTTTGTTGTTCATGAAAGCTTTTAAGCACCTAATAATCTCATGTTCGATCCTGAAGTCATATGACCTGGGAAACAAACAAGAAACAAAAATGAAATATTGCTAATTCTAGACACAGAATTATCTTTCTATTTACCCATGCAGGCTTCCTAGTCCCAGAACATTCAAAAAACCATGCAACACCATAAAAAACTGTAACAAGATGCTCATAACCGTATCAAAAAAGAGGAGTCAGGGGAAAAGTATGACTGGATAATACTACCCCCAAGACAAATTTCATTATAACCAATCTTACAGATTCATCCATCCATCCTTATCCTATCCAAATTTCCTCATTTTTCCTCTAATCTTGATGCAGCCAAATAAAACCTGTTTCTAGCATGCAAATATTTATCTTATCTTATCTTATCTTATCTTATCTTATCTTATCTTATCTTTCCATCCATCCATCCATCCATCCATCCATCCATCCATCCATCCATCCATCCATCCTACCTACCTATGAAAGCCAGTGTATTTAAAGTGCCAGACTAGGAGTGGGAAGACCCAGGTTCTAAACCTCCCTTAGGCACAGAAGCTGGCTAGGTGATTTTGGGCTAATAACACTCTCTCAGTCTTACATTAGGAAGTCAAAAAAAATCTATCTAGTGACCAGCATTGGGCCAGCATGGTAGATTACAGACCATATAATATACACACATATACACATATGAGGCAGAATGTGTGTGTATATACACAAATTTATCTAGATGTGTATGTGTGTGTAAGCATTGTTATCTAGGGTGATCTGTGAATTAAGCATGTTTTATAAAATAAAACAGAACAAGTTTACTATCTATACTTATACACTGAAAGCACACAAATGTGTATGTATGAAACATTTTACCTCAACTTAAAGTATTTTAATTCAAGTGGTCCTTACCCATAAAACTCATCCTTCTCATCATGAAGACCTTTCAGTATGTCCAGCAGGCAATTCAGTCCCTCAGCTCCAAAATTTTGCACCCAGCTGCAATATTTGCAGAATAAAAAACATTATAATCTAAGTAAAATAACCACCATCTTCTCATTAGACTGTCAACTGTATACAACTCTTGCCTTCAGATATGCATCATGTCCATATATTTTAAACATGGTAGTATTGAGCAATCAACAAGGTCTATCTGAACTATTACCTGACAGGATTGTTATTGAGTGACACACGCAGAGATTCCAAACATCCAAGGAGTTGTGCATCTTTAAGACCAGACTTTAGTTCCTGAATGTACATAATAGGAGATTTTGAGCTCTCCTTTTGACTCATGCCCTGCAAAAGAGAAAAAAAACAATGATAAATGTATACCATGCTTTCTAAATTAAATACATCTCCACAGCACAAAATACAACTCAAGTTGAACTTTTCCCTTAACACTCAAGAGGTCAATACAACAGAGTTTTCAGTTTAAAAAAATGGTCCCAGGGTTGAGCTATATCCAATTACATTCCAGAATTTTATTCCTTTTCTATTTGCTATAATTGCAATTTAGAGTTACTTGCTGTTCAGTATTTGGACACTGACTTTCCTACTATTTTCTCCATCATACAGTTTAATAATCCACTATATTTTATTTCAGAAATATATTAGAACACACATATCAATAAATTACATGTTTACCTCATAATTATGACCCACAATAGAAATTTGTACTTTTGATTTCCTGTAAAAATATCTGTCTGAGGTTGATTTTAGGAATGTGGAATCAGTTATTATTACTGTTTGAATTGTACTCCACATTTCTTGTCCAGCAAGTACTCAAGAAGACTAAAACAAGTTTTAAAAAATGGAATATAAAATTATAAATGTAATAGTAAAATATTAAACCAATTAACAATTAAAAGCCTGGCAAAAGAGATGGGACTTTACAGATTTTCTAAATATGAAGATAGTAGGGTCCAAACATGTATCTTAACAGGAAGAGTGCTACTCAAGTAGTCAGCCCCAAGCCTCTTTAAAATTCAGTATCAAATTATGCCCAGTAAACAACCGACAACCAATAAAACTCTTTCAGCAGAGTCACTGCACAGCATCTGAACCTTGTACTTCTTAGCAGCCTAGCTGCTGCATTACACACCAACTGCAACTTCCAGAAACTTACAAGAGGACTCACACAAAGCATACCACAGTAATCAAGAACAGACAACCATCACCAAACCTGGCCACTTCAGGAAAAACTGTAGCTATTGCATGAATTATAATTCTGAAGAAGCACCCTTTGCCACATCAACAACCTGCAAATCTTACAATAGTTGAGAATTAAATTATGCTGCGGTGCCCACCCTTTGGAACATCATCCTCCCAGAGATGAGACTGGTCCTGACTGGCTTTTTGCAAGACCTTAAAACATGGTTTTGTCACCAGGCTTGGGGATCTGTATGTGTGACAGAGTCCATGCAATGTTTAGGTTGAATTGTTGGCAGTGGTTGTTTTTTATATCAGCTGCTAATATGTCTGTTTTTTATAGTTATCTGCTTTATGTTTTTAACTGTTGTTAGCTGCCCAGAGTCATGAATTTGAGATGGGCAGCTATATAAATGGAAACAAATAAATAAATAAAGACACATTCTCTCATACTGCAAACCTCCTCTTTTCTACATCTCCATCCCCATCCCAAATTTGACTGTTGCCCTGGTAGTGTCTTTTTATCCTGTCCTTCATGGCCATTCGCTATGCCTTCTACGTAGAGCTATGTATTTACCATCATACAAATGACACCCCATTTAAAATCCCACTAATATGGGGGAAAAGATCTTTCTCTATGGGGTGGGAGAGAAGGTAGTGTTTTGACACTTGAACTATTAACGTAAGATGTCCCATCTCAACTCTAAGATGGGACATCTTAAGTTTATAGTTCAGATGTCAAAACAACCTTCTCTAAAGATCATAACTACAGTAAAATTGCCCCCAAACCCCAAATCTATCAAGTCAGGAGAAGACTGTCATGTCTGACAGTAATAAGAGCCACTGAGAGTTCAGGCACACTAGCAGGATTGCACTATTCAGTTTCAACACTGGTCACACTACAACACGGTCACAGTATGATTGATTGATTGATTGATTGGATTATTATATACCACATTTATAACAAAAATAGACAAATCATCTGAAAATATCTGTTTAGTGATTTATATTTTGGACACAGAGGCAGATAAATTAGAATCAGCTGTTTTAATTTTGTTGGATGCAGAAAAGTCTTCTGACACGGTTCAGATTAAATTTTTGAAGGGTGCCTTAAAAAGAGTTGGTTTCCCACCATCTGAGCATCAGGACCTAAAGCTAATGCACTCATCTAAAGTACAATGGTCCTTAAGTTAAATTCCCAGTACAGGGATTGAACCATGCAGAGTATGATCTGGCTATATATGTTTGATGACTCCTTCTAAGAATGAAACTGGTCATGTACTGCCTCCTCCTGGTGGTCAATGCAACTGAAAACACTGCACAGGATGCACACCATGTACAAACAGAAAAATGTAAAACTTTGTACATGGGGCATGACGTAACGTAACGTCTGTATATCTCTCTCAGAGATTAAGGAAAGGTGAACATATAACTGAATTACACTCTCAAATTATAGAATTTGACATTTTATGAAGAACATTGGTTTATCAAGCCTGAGGTACAGCAAAGAAAATTATGTTACATAAATGAAAATAAATGTAAGTTTTTCATGCTGAAGAGTAGATTCAAGAGATGAGTTATTAACAGTTTTTTAAATGTCCTTATATTCCAAAAATGAGAGGAGCATTATATTTTTGTATGGTTTAGATTTAAGAATATGTTGAATTAAACTGATCCAGAATCAAAAGACTCTGGGAGCGAGTTAATTTTGATACCTTGATACTAACTTTGATTCCATAACCTCAACCAAAATTTCTAGACAAAGGTTTGGAAAAGCTACAAAATTGTATACTAGGATATTAAAGAGAGAGATTGTTATATGAGTTGTAAGAAATCTTGTCAGGAGTTCTACTGAACAAGGGAATCAAAAGGAAAGCACAGAAGAGAGCTCTCAACCACCTCTGAAGGAAGGCATCTCCCTTACACATGGTCCAATAAAAACTGGCTGTAGTACTGAATGTACTAGTGATAGCATCTGCAAAAAATGTTATTTGGGACCATCCCCAAATAACAAAAAAAGTTATTTGGGGATGGTCCCAGAGATGAAAGAGGCGGTAGAGAACTTGTGGCTTCAACATTAATTTGGGGTCAACCATTTTGGTCTGTTTGAAAGCATCTGATAGTGTGTTGCTTTCCCAGTTCTCTCAGAAGCATTGTGAGAGATACTGGGAGTTGTAGTTGTAGTCAGGAATGCCAAAAATTGCCTAGGCTGAACCATTGTTTATTACGACACAGTTTAGTCACTTTTTTATGGAATCCCATATTTTGGTCCTCCTCTTCCTGTACAGCTATGATAGATTCCAACTATCCACTTACTTTTAAATTCACAGCAGTTAAATTATGTTCAAATGGTAAAGTAACTATAATGAACAAGCCTTATGCTCAATTAATAGCTGAAACTACCTTGGGTATATTCCAGTTTATAGACTTAAGCCACTATGGTTTTGCCAGCTCTTCCTTTATTCGGAGAAGCCAGTAAATAAACAATCATACTAAACAACACTGTGCTCTATAATCAGAGAACAGTATAAGTGACTATAGACAGTGACATACAGAATGCCTGATTTCCACCCATCCTTGACAGTTACTTCTTACATATAACTTTCAGACAGCTGCCATTTATCCTGCAACATGAAACAAGCAAGCCGCAGAAGTATTCTCTGAATTGTGACCATTCCACAACACAAGAACTCACAGCTTTGGAAGTATGCAGGTACTGGGACACCATTTCTCTCTTGATACTAATGTCCTTCTCCCTTAGAGGTTGCTGCTTTTCCTCATTTAGATTCATATCCACCTAGTGAAGGAAGCATAAAAAATAGTCATAGAATCATAGAATTGGAAGGGACCTAAGTGATCATCAACTCCAACCCCGTGCACATTGCAGGTTTCACTACACCATTCTTGCTAGATGATATCCAGTCACATGAGGCTCTCTTCTTTTGACAAAATTATGAGTAAAAAATACTTGCCTTCTCCCAAATGAATTCTGGTTTTAGGAGTTCTGTTTGTTTGCTGTGGTAGAAAAATGAATCAGGAATATTTCTTCCCAGTGCAGAAAGAGAATTTTTCACATCCCAGAAATCACACCACTATGGCAAAGTGAATACTTTACACTATGTGAATACACTACAGCAAAGTGAATATTTCAGCATCACTATAAGCAAAGTGAAATTTTAGCTTTGTCATTCTCAGGATATAATTGTAAAGATACTTACCAGCATCTGCTCAAAGAGTACCAGCACGTCTTCATCAGGGATAGTCTGCAACATCTGACCTGACCCAGAAATATCTGAATATGAAGCAGATGAATTCCTATATGTTGTACTGGGTTTTTCTTTCTCCTTCTTTATCCTCATACTGGTGAATCTCTCAAGCTGATTAATAAAATATAAAATTAGAATTGCTGTTCTTTTTCTATTCTTCTTTTCCATTCAATTTACAGAGTGTGTTACTTTCTTAGCTATAATATATGAATACTTTCGCACTGCATTGGAAAAATCAAAATCAATGTTCTTTTAAATCTCTTTATGTAATTCTGCTAATTACTAGAGCTGTGCAAAGCTTCTAATGGTGCTGTGATTCAGTGAAGCTTCTACCGAATCACTCCATCAAAAGAGATCACAGATCAAAACAGAGATTCACTTTGATGTACTGAATCAAGTGCCTGCAAAATGCTTTACATTGATTGCTTTTCTGCTGCTATATAAATTTATTTATTTACACACACACACACAGTTGGAAGTTCAATTCCAAACAGAGAGAACAATGACAGGAGTAAATGCACTGAATGGCTAATGAGCTCTCTGTCACTGAAATCATGCCCAGCTAAGGAGCTGTCACTTTATTAAACTATCAGACTCTTTTGGGGTGGCAAGGCTAATACTACTTTGAACTGTATTCACTTTCTCATCTCTCAATGTCTTTGCTATGGCCACTTAAGTCTTAACTCTATTGTCTCTTGTGCCAATAATGTTACAATTCTATGCTGGCCCTCCCAAAACAATTAGGAATATGGGTTCAAGATAGAATATTGACTCAAGGAAATCCAATATGCGTTCTTGGGTCAAACTGTACTTTGGGGCAGGTTTAAACTTTTTGACAATGCCTGACTAACAAGGACTGTCCAAAATATTTACTGTATGAGTCTCAAAGAAGAGATTTATTACTGAAGTACAGGCAGTCCCTGGGTTAAGAACATTATACAGTATTATACAATAATACTGTTCCGGCTTACATACAATTCAACTTAAGGACAGACTTTGGGACCGGAACTTATTCTTAAACTGGGGACTATCTGTGTTGTCTCTTGCACTGGTCTTTTGCTAAAGCTGTTGGATTGCTATAATATATTTAAAACAAATAAAATAACTGATTTTAGGATAGAGAATGGTGAGGCTGTAAATGCCAGTGTTTTATGCCGGTCTCTTTCTCTGTAGTTTATCTCTAAGCAGTGTATTTCACTGTTCCAGCCTACTCCTATTGCTTCTATGAACGAACATAGTATATTGCCACAAGCCACTATATTAAGACAATTAATCCTGATACTAATAACCCCTTCCCAGCTTGCCAATTTGCTTGCCAACTAGCTACACCATCCCTCCTGGTATCCCACAAACATCCCCCCCCCCAAAATTCAGAGACAACAAAGATACACCACTCTATAAGGGCAAATAAATTAATATTCTTCAGTTTCATACCAAGCCTGGCACCTCAGAAACATGGGTAGAAAAGAAAAGGCTTGCCTTTTGAACAATATTTGAAAGGTCTTCTTTTAAAGATGGGGTAGGATACTTTCTGCAGTTTTTTAGTACTCATAATTTCATTGTCACTCAACTACCTAAAAGCAGTCTCTCCCAATTTCTATCTTAAGGAGGCCTGCAACTTATCCAAAGCAGATAATATACTATCCTTGAATAGGCTGAATCCATAACCATCAGAGCTTCCCTCTCATCTAAATTAAATTTCAGTTTGTTTATAGCTGGACAATCCATCACCACCATCTTTGGGATACAAGTCCCAAATTTATTTGGGATTTCTATCTTCCCACTAGAGGCATCCTTTAGGTACTAACAATACTTCAAACTAAGTATCAAGATATTACATACATTTTAAAGAAGAGAAAAACAATGGGAAAAACAAAGGTTACCTAAGGAACCACCTCTCCCCTATGACTTCAACCTGTCCCACCCGATCACACAGAGAGGGCATGCTTCGGACCCCCTCAGTGAACGA